CCTTCATATTTTCTAATAATGCTATTTTTAAATGATGCCTCATAGGACGTTTTTTCAAAGATGGCTTCCAGGATCTCTTTAATTTCATCGCCAGTGAAGCGGAAGTGCTGCGAGTTTTCAAAATCCGGAAGTGTATTTCGAAACGGTACTTCAGTGCAAAATACTGACAGCGTGAAATGGCAGTTCTGTGCATAGAGGAATTCAGCGACGAGTGTATTAAGCGCCAACACTAATGGCGACAGTGTTAATCGATGCGTTGAACCACCCGTGGTGGTGGTAGTGGTCTGTGCCAATATTTGGCGACCTGGAAGCACAGAGAATTAACACTTAAATTTAACAAACGATTTTAAAATGCATGTCCCATTGAGTGCACTGCTTTAACGTAGCCCTGCATTGCCGACTAATAGTTATCGATGAATTCGGTCGCTATGGTAATGCAGTAAAGAAACGAGCAAACAAAAAATGTAAACAAACCCAATTCATGAATGAACCTCAATTGCTTGTACGAGTATATTCATTGATGAAAGCCTTTCAAAACAACTGAAAAAAAGCCTAGATTAATATTTGTAAACAAAATGCTCACCTAACGCAGTTTTGTTGAAATTTGATATGAGATCAGTTCGCAGCTTTGCCTGTAGTGCCCGCGCTACATCGTCGCGTTCCATCCAATCACGAAAGTGCTTCTCAAACTCCTTGACGGGTATTTTAGACAGATCCGTCAGGTTCGCCTTCATATCCATCTCCGCGTTGGCCATATTTTTACAAACAGTTTTCGCTTTGATAAACTTCAATCAATCGTGTGTCGTTTAAAATTTATTCTTTTTGCAGCGTCGAAAAAGCCAATTTTGAAGTTCTGCTTGTCCACTAAACACTATTAGAATTTGTACGAGCCGAATGCGTGCAAAATCCTAATGCAGCGACTTGGCAGCGCTTCTTTTCTGTTTTGGCTTCCAGCTTTCAAAATCACAAGTAACGACAAACAAATGTCAGTGGCAACAAAAAATTTCAGAACATACGTCACCCAACACGCAAAAAATGAAAAAGTATTACCAAAGAACGTAAAGCTGTTCTGTCTGTTGTTCTGTTCTTTCGTTCAACACAGCTACCCTAATAGGTTTCTTTATGGCTGCATTTCTTTATTCATTCTGAACGTTTGGAATAAATTTTTTTGTTTATTTATTCTTTAGAACGTTCCTGATGATATGTTGACATATATTTCAAACGCATTCTGTTTATTCCGGCTGTGAAATGGGATTATCCGGAATGTATAAAGAAATGCCATGTATGTAAAGTGATAAAGGGATAAATTCCTTAAATTTATCTGTTCATCCGCATACTTTTTTTGAACACAACTTGGTAAATAATTACATAAAATTGTTTATTATTTAACTTACATGACTAGTTACCTCTCATTCTTACGTCGTCCATTGTGTTCATTTGCTTTTTATGTTTTCGTAGCAAAAGCCACCGCCTGGCAACTTGTCAGGGTTGAATTTTGCTTAAATTTATACATTTATCCACCAAAAGCGTTTGATAATTTGTTAAAGTTTGGTTTAATAGATTTCCATACAAAGTTTGACAGTTCATTTATCAAAATGATAAATTTATCGTTTTATCAAGTTTATCAACAGTCGATCTCTTCTGATGAAGACAACTAATATAAAGCATTGTTCACAGGCATTCCCACGACAGCCGGTTCTACGTACCGGAATGACTCGGGTTTCACCCGACCAAGGGCTGTTGTTTCGGCGATCTAACCCCGTTTAGGTCGGCGAAGTATCTCAGAAGTTGTCCGTCCATAGGGCAACATTCACTACGCATTCTCCTACTCAGGGCTGGCATCGAGTCAAACCCTGGGCCAGAAATATACACCTGCTGTGTATGCCGAAGACGTTTACACCACAACTCCACCTCAGTCAAGTGTAATGCCTGCGAGGGGTGGAGTCACCTCAGGGTCTGCTCGGGATTACGGACACACAGACAGTGGACCGCGTCGTACGTGGCCCCCTGTTGCTCAAATAGAGCAGCCTCCACGGCAACCCACAGTCCGCCCGTGCAGCCCCACACACTCACACAGCAACCACACACAGTCGCCACAACACAACAACATACCACAGCCACCACAGACCACATAACACACACAACCGCACCACCACCCACACGCCGCCGCCAACAACTCTTGGTTCCCCCTACAATCTGCACGGTATGTCAGACCAGAATATTCCGTAATGTGACATCAGTCAAGTGCAACACCTGCCTTGGCTGGTGCCACTTTAGGGCATGCTCAGGTCTGCGCACCACGCGAGATTGGACGGGGAACTTCGAGGGCCCGTGTTGCGCTGCCCGGTCGCTGGCATCAATTGCGACGCCCCCCAATACCACCACAGGGAGGCAATCACCCCAGCAGCACACACAGCCAACGGCGGCAAGAACTTACACCTCACTAACACCCCACATCACAACACGTCTCCCGAACCACATGAAGCTCCTCCAATTCAACTGTAACGGGCTACAGAGCAAGATTGAGGAGATAACCGCCTTTATGTGTCGGCATGGTATATTAATAGCTGCGGTCCAAGAGACGAAGTTGCACAGCAATTCAACTTTGTTGAATTGTGCCGGGTACAACGTGCACCGTCGAGATCGCGAGCGAGATAATGGTGGTGGCTTAGCGTTCATCACGCACCACACCGTGCAGTATCGTCTTATCGAAGCAGACATCGACCGCAGGGATACCACCCTAGAATGTCAGGGCATCGCTATCCGGTCAGGCGATGTCGAGCTCGAAATATTTAATATATATACATACCCCCTGTCACCTGCTGCCCGGCAGGATATCACCCTGATATAGGTGCGCTCCTCAGAGGTGAAAACCGTATGGTAGTAGGTGACTTTAATGCGCACCACGATCTTTGGCACTCAAGCCTGTCAAACGATCGTAGGGGAACAGACTTGGCTGAGCAGATAGACGATTCGACATTCTGCACAATGAACGACGACGCACCCACCAGGATTATGGGTAACTGCAGTAGCTCGCCAGACATCACAATAGTCAGCGCTGGTCTGATAAACAGCATAACGTGGCGACCTATGCTGACTCTAGCATCAGACCATCTACCCATAGTCATCTCGATTGATAAACCAACCGACTTTGCCTCCGCCAAACACCGGACCTATGTCAACTTTTCTAAAGCTGACTGGAAAGGTTACGCGGAGTTTACTGAAAACACCTTCACATCGCTCCCCACACCAACCGACGTCCACCTCGGTGAACGTAAGTTCCGCAGGGCTATCACTGCTGCTGCAGCCCGCTTCATACCGGCAGGGTGCATATCGGACCCACGTCCAAACTTCCCTGCCGAAGCGGCTGTTTTAGCAAATGAGCGTGATAGCCTTCGTCAGGCCGATCCCGGAGATCCCCGTATCAGGGATCTCAACGCGGAGATTCGGCAACTTGTAAACGTACATAAGCGGAAGAAGTGGGAGGAGCATCTGAAGACTTGCAACTTCACCTCTGGTGTGAGCAAGCTTTGGTCAACCGTGAGGTCATTGTCTAATCCGACGAAGCACGACGACAGAGTCGAAATTTCCTTCGGCGACCATGCTTCGTCGGACCCGGAGCGATGCGCGAGCTATTTTAGCCGGCAGTTCATACTGCATCCTCCGGTGGACAAAGCCAAGCGTCGAGTGACCAGAAGGCTGCACAAACTGCCAACAAATTGTGCCCCCCTTGCTTTCACTTGCGGTGAAGTTCAGGTGGCCATCGGGAAGGCGAAAGCCTCCAAAGCCATGGGTCCCGACGGTATATGCATGCTGATGCTGAAAAATTTGGGTCCTGCGGGGGTAGCGTACCTAACGGAGGTCCTCAATTTGTCAATGGCCACTCTCATCATCCCAGACATCTGGAAGGTGGGGAGAGTGGTCCCACTGCTCAAACCGGGGAAACCTGCAAACAAAGGAGATTCGTATCGTCCGATTACACTCCTTTCCCCGGTAGCGAAGACACTCGAGGCCTTGCTACTCCCGTACTTCACAAATCACCTGACCCCAGCGAAGCATCAGCATGGTTTCCGTAAAGTGCACAGCACAACAACAGCACTTAACGCCATAAACACTCAGATAACTCGTGGCCTTAACCGTAACCGTCCCTGTGAGAGAACGATTCTAGTAGCGTTGGACCTGTCAAAGGCGTTTGACACCGTCTGCCATTCCACGCTACTAGAAGATATAGAGGCCTCCTCTCTCCCACAGAGGCTCAAACGGTGGTCGGCAAATTATCTAAGTGGTCGACATTCGTCGGTAATGTTCAGAGACAAAACGAGTAAGCAGCGAAAAATAAAACAGGGGGTTCCTCAGGGTGGTGTCCTTTCCCCGCTACTGTTTAACTTTTATATTTCAAAGCTCCCTCAACCACCAGAGGGAGTCTCGATTGTCTCCTATGCCGACGATTGCTCGCTTATGGCGACTGGGAATGGAATTGATGACCTGTGTTCGAAAGTAAACGGCTATCTCTCCGAACTTTCTCGCTTCTTCACTGCAAAGTGTCTAGCCCTCTCCCCTACGAAATCCTCCGCGACCCTGTTCACAACCTGGACGAAGGAGGTCAGGCTACCGCTGGGGATTCACGTCGATGACACACCAATTCCGACGGTGAATAACCCCAAAATACTCGGAGTAACTTTCGACAGCCTGCTCTCTTCTCTGCGCACTCAACCGCTATTGTCAATAAAGTACAGAGCCGCAACAAGGTCCTCAAGTCGCTAGCCGGCAGTACTTGGGGCAAAGACAAAGAAACGTTGCTGGCAACATACAAGGCAATAGGCCGGCCGGTTCTGAACTACGCAGCGCCAGTGTGGTCGCCTGGGACTAGTAGGACGCAGTGGACGAAGCTACAGACCGCACAAAACACCGCACTGAGGACAGCGACGGGATGCCTCCTGATGACGCCTGAACACCACCTGCACGGCGAGGCGCAAATGCTCCCGGTGAAGGAGCACAATATAATGCTCTGCAAGCAGTTCCTGATCGGGACCCACAGAAGTGGCCACCCGTGCAGACAGCTGCTTGCAGAGGAGCCCTCGCCTAGGCACGTCAGGAGGCATCTATATGAACTAACGGACGAAGTCCAGAGGTTCATTAAGCAACCTCTGGACCCGACAGCCTACAGACAGGCCTTGAACGGCATTCACAGGGACTCAGTCTCGAGTTATGTAGACTCTAGACCTGTGAATGCCGTTCTAGGCACACCACCCCCGGACATTGACGAGACGGAGCTTCATCTGCCTCGGGAGACGCGCACCACACTTGCACAACTTCGCTCCGGCTACTGCAGCAGGTTAAACTCCTACCTGAGTAGGCTGAATGAGGATGTGCCTAATGAATGTCCGGCATGCGGAGAGACCCCACATGACTCGAAACATCTCTTCGCATGCCCGGCAAACCCGACATCCCTAACGACCTTGTCCTTATGGGCAAACCCCGCAGAAGCTGCACGCTTCCTAGGGTTGCCGTTAGTGGAACTTGACGACAACGACTGAGATACCAACCGATCTGGGCGGGGTTGTTGTAGCCGCTACAACAACAACAACAACATTGTTCACAGGCGATTAATTGACTCAAAATTTGAACGAAAATTGGCTGCCGACGAACTTGATTGAAAGCAGTTTGATGAAAGGCCGTTTGCACTATTCAACCCTCACATTCAACAAAAACTTGAAAAATAAGTTGAACAATGCAAACGCTGCTTAATCAAGTTTCTAATTCCCAACTAAAAAATTTTACAGGAGAGGGAAAAAACTTCTTAAGCCATTTTCTTAAAGTATTTCGCCAAACATTTAAATCAAAGCAAAACTCCATACGAATCATAGAGAATCGATATTTATTAAACCATTTCGTACTAATTTTGCCTTATCAATTCTTTAGAGCTTCCTTTGGACTTAGCAATTTTTTCTTTCATTGAATATAAAGGAGAAAACATAAAAGTACCTGTGTCCTTTTCGAAACGACGTATTTTTAATTTCTCTAGTCTCCAGTACCAAAATATTACCTTCAGTTGATCCGGATCAAGTCCGACTTAGTCCGGATCAACGCTGCCGTCTGTTTAAGCTTTAAGCCAGCTATATAAGTATCCAATGCCTTCCTATAAGTGCTGCCATAAGAATTGGTGTATTGAAATCATGCACTGGTTATAATGGAAATAAGCGGACGGAGTGAAATGTCACGTAGTTGTGGCAATATTTCTCCACCTCACTCTATTCAATCGCTTAGGACTTGTACGTGTGCTTAATATGTGTACCACTTATGCACAAAGTTAATTAGCCAAAATATATATTCTTCACTTATGTATTCGTTACTTTACTTCATTTTGGTCAATTGGTGAACGTTAGCAAATGCAACTCTGTTGCTGGCGATCATATGGTAATTACGTTTTTGCTTTGTCATATTTTGATTTTCCTTGTTTACAGCAAAATATACAAAATGCAATAAACAGAGTGACAAAATAAACAAAGTAAAACAAATTCTCTTGGCTAATGAAATTGTGAAATACGTTGAATTTGTTTATAGATTCATTGAAGAAAGTTTACGCAAACGTCGATTTGTTTTGTTTTTGCTGCTATTTCTCAACTTCTGCACTATCATGTCGCATATAGACAATGTCATCATTCAGGTTAGGGCCCGACTTCAACAATTGGGTATTAAATTGTGGGAAGAGCCCTACTATTATTCGGATATTGGTAGCGTAGAATCTGAAATTGATGTGAGTGTTCTTTGCCTAATTAGAATTTTATAAAATACTATATTTTGATTATAAATTTTAGCGACTTGCTCAAGATTTTAGCACAAGCTTAAGTATAAGCATATCAAACTGCAAACTAGCGTTGACGGAGCTGCAGGATGGCGCATTACGAAAGCTGGCTACACGGAAGGAGTTTAATGAAACTGGTAGGTATTTGGCTGGCAATGTAGTTGGATAGAATCTCTTTTTAATATTAACCTTCTACATTAATCTCTGTAGGTCTTGCCACGTTCAGCGTAAGGCGTATTAATAATCAAGAAGGCACACAAAATATGCTGGAAGTAAAATGCCCATTAAATGGCTTAGGAACCGAACTGCAAAAAAGAATTGCCGAAAAATTGCAGGTCAGCGATCCAAACCGTGTAAAATGCATATCATCAGGAAAAATTATTGATCCAGAAAAAGCGCTCGACTTGCAAGGTTTGTTAAGCAACACAATAAGTATATGGTGAAAAATTTACGAAAACTAATTGTCTAGGTATAAAAAATAATCAGCAGTTGATGGTAATAATCAGTGATGTTGATCGCACAGAATCAAATTCGAAAGAAGCGATGTATGATCGTATTCGCAAAATTAAAATGGATGTCGAGGCCATCGTTGACTCAGAAAGGCAACTCTTCGAGGCTAGTATCTAATGTCCTTATAAATACAAATATATAATTATTTTTTAATTTTTAGATGGAAGACCAAGACGGCAATCTTGTATTTCTGCCCCCAAATGAAAACCGCGCGCTTTTGATGGCGATGGGCTTCTGTGAAAAGGCTCGGGCGGCTATGAAAAGACAACACTATGACGAAGCCTTAATTTTGCTGCTCGAAGCTGATGAAAAGTTTTCCACTTGCAATTCACAATTTTTGGAATCGGTGGACAATTACGCTTTAATAAATCTAGACATAGTTTGGTGTTACTTATGTCTCAAAGTAAGTTTGGTTGCTTGTATGTACATGTGTACGTTGCAATTTTATTTAAAAAATAAATTAAAATTGCTAGAATGTCACTCAGTTGCCGGATGCTCAAAGGCGTTTGGAAATATGTGAGCGCAGCTTTCGCCGAAGCTACGGTGAGAATATGAACCGTTTGATTGCACTGAAAGGGAACGCATGTCCTGAACGTGCTCTGCTAATGCGACTACATCTGCTGCAAGGTGTGGTCTTCTTCCATCAGAACAGACGGAATGAAGCTTATGAACGGTTAGAGGTGGCCGCCGCCGAGTTGCGTGAATTGAAAGTGGATGACGCCTCCGTTATGACGCTGGTGGAGATGGGATATGAACCTTTCGAAGCACGTTTGGGACTCCGAGCTTGTAGTGGAAATTTGGAACAGGCCATCACTTTCATACATGAACGAAGGGAAAAAAAGAGTGCAGCAAGATTACGTTCACAAAAAGAGCGTAAATTAAATGCAAAGTTGTCGAGCACAAGCAACGACAAGGATTGGGTAAACCCACGGAGTGTATGTACACTAATGGAAATGGGATTTCAGCATGATCTTGTCGTTGCGGCACTTAAACAATCAAAAAATGATCTTCAGCAAGCGGTATGTGTGCTAAAGATGGTGCAAGTACTATATTTTTTCATATCAATTAACAATTTTGCAGTTGGATTTGCTGCAAACGAATGCTGATGCACTCTTGCAAAATTTGCCGACAAAGAAAGATGCAAATTCTGATTTGTTGGAGCAGGTAATCTTAGTGATAGTTGAGCATAGTTTATACTAAACTTTCTACATTTCAGTTAAAACAGCTTGGCTTCAACGAGAACATGGTGCGCGTAGCTCTTGAGACTACCGAAAATAATCCTGAGAAAGCACTTGATTTTCTAGTTAAAATATTCGGTAGTGAAGAAGAGTTGCGGAAGCAAATAAGCCATATAGCCAAAGCTGCGAAGGAAATTCTCGCCGATGATACACCATCTACATCTAGTGGCAACAATTCACTCGCGTCTACAGCACTAGACAAAATGAAGAATGAAATGGAATCATACGAAGCATATGAACGCTTCAATCAGGATCTGACGTCGAATGAGCAGGACTATCTTGACTTGCCACTCCAGCAAGAAGAGCAAATTTTGGCAGAATACAAACGCTTCTTGGAACAATGATTGCATGCCACTACGATTTTGGTATAGTACATATATTTACAAAAAAAGGTGAATTGTATATTATGTTTTAATTGGAATAAATACTATCCGACCTATACATGCGAATGTGTACAAGCTCTGCTTCATGCGATCGTAAAACTAGAACATAGTTTATTACTGCATTGTTTTAAGAATAATTTTTTATACGATATGTACAAAATATATATATATATATACTGCTTTCTTTTTCTCATTGATTTAGCGAATTAAACTTTGAACCATTTGTGCTGCAAAGTTAAATATTTCTTTGAAATAGAAGACAACTTGTAAAGTTATATAAATTTAATTTTAGCATTTTTAAAAGTTATAAATTTAAGTAATTCTTAGGAAATTTCTACAAATTTAATTTGACAATATCACATTTAGATCTTGCATCGCAACATCAGTAGCAAGTAGCAATTCAGCAGGGCACGCATGGTAACTAACTGCGGCAATTGGCAACTGAATCGAAACGTGTTTTGAATGCTGAATAATAAATCGCAATGCTTGCGTTTTTTGTCTTACAAAAGCGGATATTTTGTAGGTTTTTCTTTATTTTAATTTTTTTACTCTATATTTTTTTATTAACTTACATCAAAAAAATATGTTCTATACAATGTTAGGGGAGCACGATGAAATGTATACATTTACATACGTACATATGCGGGTGCATACATATACAACACACACACACACACATACAGATGGTTCGCGAGACATGTGCAGAATAGTCCTCAAGTGCAAAGTACGCTGCTGCCATAAAGATCTTGTCAGGTTTTACGAGAACGAGAATTAAAATTTTTACATAAAAGCTTATTTGTAACAGCAAACAAATCCCCTGGGATAAAGTACACAAGCTGGTAATTGCAGATTCATATGACACTTAAATTGTTTTTTTTTTTCTTTACTGCTGCTTGATGTAGTATGTGCTCTTACGGCGAGAATTAATTAACAGTTCACGCTGTCAAACATACAAACAAATGTACATTAGCACATAAGAAATGCGAAATGATATTTAAATTGTAATGATGACAAAGCTTTAATAGACCCTACTACATATAATTACCATTGGGGGTGGGCACCAGCTTCGACATTTAGTTGGGGTATGCAATTTGACGAAATATTTCCGATATTGATAAACAGCAATTAAATGGGGAAATATGCGGAAATTTGATTTAAAGCGTTACTCGTTTTTGTGGATACATACATACATATTTACATACTATATCTCAAAGAGCAAAATAGCAATATTTTAGAAGTAGGGGTTTTTAATAGCGTCTCTTCATTATTAATTACAAAAGAAAAATGGTAGATAAACACATAACTATGTAAATGTTCTTACTTATGATAATTTTGCTATTTTTTTATTTGAAAAATATACGCCAATATACGCTTCTTTCGCTCTGAGAAGCTGCATTAGCTATTACTACAGGGTGACGGCAGCTCCTTTTATACTCGGTAAAGTGTTAGTTAAATAGGTTTGTTCTTTGCCGGCATTATTTTATTACTTTTGAAAAAAGTAAGGCGATGACCCCCGCAATTACACTCTAGATGAAAAAATCTTGAGCTAGATACATATGGGTCAATCCATGTGAGATCGATCAATGTCTGGAATTGACCATTTTTGATTAAGATGAATTTTGGCCAGCACTTTTTTTTATCATATAACAAAGTTCTGCCAAAGGAAGAAAAAAAAACAAAAAAATTTTCAAAGGTTCAAGATTTCACAATTTCTCTGATTTTGCAAGTTTATTTTTAGAAACTATTATATGTACATAGTTACAAAAATGGTTCTGATCTTGTTTTTAGGGCTATATAAAAATATATTCAAAATAATTGGAATAAAATCAGAATTCGGAAATTTAAAAAATCGTAAAAAACTTATATAAATTTTTGGCCCCAATTTTTTTATACGATGCTTCCAACTGATGTTAAAAAATCCTGAAAGGTTTTTTTTAAAGGTTTGAGTTTTCAGTTTAACTAGAGTTTGAAAAAAAATACTTAGAAAATTTCAGGATCTATTAAGATCAGTTGGAAGTTTTATAAAAGAAGTTTGCAAAATTTTTAATAAGTTTTTGCTGCTATGTTTTTTTTTTTAATTTTAAAATTTTTCTTTATAGCCTTAAATATTTCCTTTGAGGCGAGACCAGCACCACTGCACCATAAAACTGTAATAGTTTTTAAGATATTTAAAAAATAAATTTGAAAAATTCCGGAAATTTTGAAATTAAGAGTTTTTTGCATAACTTTCGAAAAAATTCTTTAACTTTTTCCATTGGCAGAGTTTTCTTATATGATACAAGAAAATTTCTCCGCAGAATTCAAGCAAATCAAAAATGCTCGATTCAAACCATTTGTCGATTTGACATGGGATGACCAATAGGTCAATTTTCGTGTGGTTCTACGTCGTCGTGCTGATAAATTCAAAACTATTACCTAGGATTGTTCTATCTGAAAGGTTCGCGAAAAGCAAGGCCTCAAGTGTGAAAATAGGTAAGGCACTGGTTTTGACAACTTAAATTAATTTTGACGTTTGACCTTCTCCATTGATGGATGGAAAATAAATTTCCATTTGACAGCCCATCGTCCTTCTTTGCGGACACCTCAGGAACAAAGTCGCTAGCCGGCAGCACCTGGGGAGCCGATAATGAAACCCTGCTCACGGCGTACAAAGTAATCGGCCGATCAATGGCGGTCAGAGCACACACGGAGCCGGAAGTAGACAATCCGTTCGGCGTAGCGCTATACAGAGCCGCGCTCAGCAAGCTACACAGCGAAGCAGTCATTGCGAGCCTCAGCACCCGCAAAGACAATCGGCCAATTCTGAATACTGCACGTGAGTTTGGTCTCCGGGACCTGCTTCCGAGAAAGATATCCTCCAATAATTAACTCGCAGGGAGTAGCATTTTCTCCGAAAATTTGGGAGGAGTAAATTCGAGCTTCGAAAGAGCTGTTTTACACTACAGCTAAACTCCGCCATTTAAAATAAGAAATCCTCAGGGAATTTTTATTCATGATAGGAGGAAAGGGCAAAGAGCGAAAACTGCCAGGGAAATTCTGTTCAGAATTGGCATCCTAGCATAACTCTGTTCTGGGTGATGCCGCAGACTCAATAGCTATCTCTATCGGCAGCACTAAGAAGGGCAAACACGAGACCGCCTCCCGGTTCATCGGTCTCAGGCTTCCAGAATCAAAGGACGAGGATGATGACTCATAACGGGGTTGGTACTGCTGCTACAACAACAAGAACAACAACCAATCGGTCGTCAGGTTTCATGGGATTGAGCGTAACTTACTCACAACAGAGGTGAAGCTACAGGACTTCAGGCACTCTTCCCACTCCTTCTGCTTGTGTCTATCAGTTGCCGAATGTCCAAATTGAGATCTCAAATACTGGGATTGCCGCTATCGACGTGACGAAGGTGGGTCAAATTCGTTCGTAAGTACAGTAGTTTTAGACGAGAAATTGGGAACTGTGAACACCGGCTCCCCCTTGTCATACCCGCAAATAACGAAGCTATAGCGGGGTGAAAAAGCAGCCACCGGTTAAAATTTTTGTTATCCAGAGTTAGGGTACGCTCCATATATGTACATATTTATGTAAGTAAGCCACCTAATGACTTCACTTCAGAAGGCAAATTTAATTTTTGCAAACTTTTTTTTTGCATTTTTTCATAACCTAAATTAGTTTTTGCCAGTTTAGTCTATTATAAACCGTTAAATCTTTTTGTATCGTACGCTTTGTGTTTAAAATTTTAATTTTTTTAATTATGCCTTTTTTCTATAACTATTTTTCCATTAGTAATGGCTCTGATTTTCGCATTCATCCAAGTATGAAGTCCATATTTAGAATAATGCTAAGCAAAAACAAAAAAAGAACTATAGTATCTAATTGATGGCTTTCAATATATGTATGTACTTGAATGTGCGTATGTATTGGTGTGTGCTTGCAAGCCCTAAGTTGTTTTTGTCGATTGAGCACAAACACACGCTTCCATCTGCAATTGGTGACAAGTAATAATTTTAAGCAAAAAACAGAATCGACTTCAATTCTCATGCATATAACAATTTAGAAGTACCGTTAATTTCTTCATAATCCAATGATCGGATCTAAACCAAATTAGTATGAAATCACCCATGAGGCACTACCTTTCCGATAGAAAAAGAGTTATCGAAATCGGTTAATGTGGTCCAAAGTTATGCGGAAACATATGTACATACATAAAAAATATTCCAATGAATTGATAGCCTCCTCCTTTTTTTAAAGTCTGCTAAAAACACATATCAAATACAAATTTTAAAATTAAAAAAAAAACATATAAATACACTGGTGACAATGTCATGCAGGTGTACTCCTATCAAAGACTTATAACTGACAATGTTTTGTAGCGGTCACTTATAAAACGTCCATTGTAGGAAAGTGTCGTTTGAATGTCAGCAATGATCGTGCAGAGGCCATCAATGACCAAATTACCATTTCTATGAAATAGTGGTGAACAGCTTCCATATGAACAGATCCCAAAGACATTCCTTTCCTGTGCTTGTCATGCTTTCAGAACTTTACTCAGCTTTAAGTTTTATACTGCGGCGTGAGTGCCAAAAGCCCTAAAGCCTAAAAGGCTTGGTCTGCAGTTCTACTCTTATTTCCACCTAAGCTGCCGGTCTGAAATAAATACCGTTATTGCCGTTCTGCCCGGTAAATAACTTCCAACTGAATCTGGTAGCTGCTTGACTATTTGAAAATTATTCCAAAAATGCCACCTTTAAACCAAATTTAAATTTTGAGACATCTCTAAACATAGGTACTCCGAAGTTTTATTGTGAATGAAACAAACCATCCTAGAAATAAACTTTTTGTGAATGACAGATTGTCCCAGCGTTCTTTGGCCACTTGAGTTGTCTGATCGCCATTGGCCATTGCTAAATCCGCCGAGTGCTTTTCTGGAAGGTAAATTGAATTCTGTAATAATAGTCCATCTCATTAAAAAATTTCAGTAAAGGCACTTTGTATTGTCTATGCCTAACTGTCCTAGAAGATAAAGACTCCTTTTCTCCCTGTAGGTCTTTGATCGAGGCTCCAT